AAATTTATTTAGTAGATAACATGTTGACCAAGTATCAAATGATTAAATTTATAGACTTCTGTGAAGTGCGGTTCCTTCCAGAATCAGTAGCCAGAGTAGCCACCACTGTAAGAGATCACTGCTGCCACACGCCTCGGCATTGATTCAGATACTTTGGATGTGTTCTTGGGATACAGCACACCAAGCAGCTTCACCACGTTGCTAAAGTTGATCTGGTGTGGCAGCTTGGGATGTAATCTGGGTCAATCATTCAGCAACGATGGACCACATGTTTTCATATGTGAAAGATCCAGACAGCAAGCCAGCCAGTGAAACAGTTAAATCTGGCGATTGATAAAAAACCCTTGGACAATGCGTGCCACGTGTGATCGCGCATTATCCTGTTGAAATATGGCTGTGGGCAAGCCCTGACGATTAAGGAAGGACAACTGGCTCCAACACCTCGGAGATGTAGCACTGGCTGTTTAAAATACCAGCAATGCATATTAGAGGAGTGCGAGAGTGTTATCCAATACTGCCCCATACCATAAGCCCGGTGCAGGACCAGTGTGGTGGTGCATAATGCAGCTGTTCAGCATCCTCTCCATGGTGTCTCCACACTTGAATCCGACCATCTACGGTGTTGCAGACAGAAGCGTGACACATCAGTAAAAACAATTTCATTCCATTCTGCCGTCCACATCCTTCTTTCATTGCACCATTGGCAGCGGAGACGTCTATGGTTCTGCGTCAAGGGTAGATGAAGCAATAGATGTGTGGCGGACAGGCCACTTTGCCGTAAAATGGTGTTGAATGATACGCGCAGACACTAGATGATGCGTTACAGACTGAATGTGCTGTACTATGGTTCGTGATGTGACTGAGCAATCTGTCACTGCCATGCGCACAATGTTCCTGTCATCACGTGAAGTGCTGCACCGCGGTGGATGTGAACACGTCGATCCGTCATACCCTCCTGCATCCAACGGTCACATATCTGCATTACAGTTGTTTGGTTTCGTCCAACACGACTACCGATTTCCCTGAAAGATAATCCACACTCTCGATAGGCCACTATCCTTCCTATGCCGAGCTCGGATACTTGATCAAATGATGATTGCTTGTTTACCACGAGGTATAATTGATCGTTTTTTTGAAAAAACCCACAAGAAAAACACAATTGCCGAACTTGAAATCATCAAAAACTCTAAGCCTTAAATAGCGCCGTGAAGTGGCGCCACAGGCACGTGTGATGTGGGTCTGCGCTGAAATTCTAATCATTTACGTATCTCACTTCCGCTAACACATGTTGTAAATTTCATGTTATTTGCATGCTTCCTTCAGGGTGTTGCATTTACGGTGGCCAGCAGTGTACTATACTATTCTATTGACAGCAAGTCCTAAATTTTTATTACTTTTAAAAATGCGATTGAAAAACATATAAATAGCAGTTAACTCGTACTGTTTTGCACAAAAATTTAACCGACATAAAATGATTTACATATAAAGATGAAGAACTTATGACTGGGTTCTGACTTCACACTTATCCATTATTGGAGCTAAATCACATGTTTGGTGACAGTGTTTGCATGATGCAAGTCATAGTCCTATTCATGTTTTATAATGGAATTAGAAGTCTCTCATCTGCTTTAAAAAATTTCTAAAGTTCAAAATATTTAGTTATTTGAGCTTTCCGGTTAGTTGAATGCCTGATTAGTCAGGGTTTTACTGTATTATCAACAAGTGTATTTGATCCAGTTTTGCATTTTATCTAAAATAATGTGACAACTGAATCACTCCAAAATTTGTGCTTCAGCTTCTTTTGCATAATAATGCATTCATATACTGCTTAGTTCATAAAATGTTAGTAATTCCAATCTTGGAATAGTTATATGCCTCATTGGCCAAAGCTAGAAAGCTTTTGGCCAGCAGTAGCTGAAAATGAACCTCAGCATCTTAATATGAAAAGCATCATCCTTTGTCCTAAGGAAGATACAGGTGGCATATAAATTTTTGCTTTGTATGACAGAAACATCTCAGATTAGCTGATTATAGATTATTAGAAGACAGCCATCTCAGGATCCAAAATCTTCTTATCCAAAGAATTTGTTTCATCTGCTTTTAGAATTTTTCCTTGATACAAGTCAGTAAATCATCATCTGAAATATCTTTTGCATTATCTAAAGCAACTAGATTTTGGTTACTGGGCTAGAAGACACTGATATTGGGTTTATGCCACAGAGCATTTCACCAGAATACCTAAAACTTGAAAATAGCTTTCCTATAAAAATTCTGTCTTATCATATTTCTTAGAACTACCGACCAATGTTCTAAATTCAAACCGTTCCAATGAACATTGATTGTTCAGCTTCTGATTAATTCTGCACATCCTTTTCATTTTCTGCATTAGTAATGAACTGTCTACATAAAATAGCTACTTCTGATTATTCTATTGAACAGTCTATCCACAGGTTTCTAATGGTAAAAATACAAATAATATTTTACAATTTTCTTGATATAATGACCAAACTAATTAACTCTACATAAAACTGACAACATACTTGGGACGCAATCATAATCTGAGATTCTGATTTGTTTTTTCAAAATTTTCTGCTTTTATGTATAGCAGTAATGGAAGCAGGAAATTAATTACTTCTACCATAACAATATTGTTTTCATTAAAAATTTACTTCTGAGACACAGCTGAATGGTATAAATTAAACTTACCAAACCCCGGAAGTGTTCAAAGTAGTTTCCTCTAGTAACAATTTACTTTGGTAAGCAAATTTTTCAAATATTAAATGCTTAAGCCATCAGTTTCTTGGAATCGATGAAAATATGCTTTCCAGCTTAATCAATCTTATTTTTGGTTAAAGCGATGATCATGTAAACTTAATTTTAGATTAAAAAATAGACAAAAGGCACAACACATATTTAGTTGCATATTCCCTTTTTAACCAACTTTATTGCATGGAAATCGAGACGGGAAAATTACGCGAATAATTTAATTTCTAAAGGATGTTATTTAGAGTAAATAAATGAAATGTATTCACGGCTAAACTACCAGTAACAATCACAATATCATTTATTTAAAAGACACCTGCATTCCAATAAGATATAATGACATACAGTAATATTTACATTACCAATAGTAAAAAAAAATATCTATTTCACTTTTCCTCCTATCCTGAATCTTTCATGCTCTTTTGTTGTTGACTGCTACTCCCTAATCGTTAAATCATTTAACGATTCTGGAATTAACTGTCTGTATTATCGGCTACAAACTGGTAAATCGTTGCCATTGTCTTCCTCATAATCATTCTCTGTCTTCCCATATATTATGATCTTCAGAATCACCATGAACATTAGATATCCCCATTTTCTTGAAACCCTTCATAATTTTTGCTTCATCAATCAAAGATCATTCACCCAAAAATCCATGAGAAAATCAATAAGATAAAAATAATTACTACATGGACAAATCCATTTTAATTTAAGGAAGATTGCCTTCTAAATGTCTTGTGGAAGGAGAAAATTAAAAGAATACTTGAACATTTTTCAGAATTTTAAGTAAGGGACGAAGAAGTGAGTGAAAACTATATACACTACCACTGCATTTATTTCAAACAATGTCATTGCTTCATTGTATTTTTCTGTCCTTATTCAATGCAGTCCATTAATTGTATGGTATTAAAAAATTCCAGTAGTAATATATAGTGAGGGGATGCTTAAAAAGGCAGGATCATAGAATTTGAAGAGGAAGTTATGAACACTCTGTATTACAAGGCCTTATTAAAGGAGACAGAAGGTCAGGAACTGATGCTCTACATAATTGATATAACATTTTGAATGCAGTTACAATTAGCTTATTAGAAAGCTTCTGACAGCAAAAAAGTATACACAGCAACAGTATAATCAGTATTATTAACAGAATTTCTTCAACAAATCTATATTAATAATATATTCTTCTTGTGCATCTTTTACTGAAATATAAGTACTTTCTAATTATCAAAACTAAGGCATATGAAAATTAATTTAAATTTGAAGAATGGCTATTTTCTGCAGAAAAGTTGCTCTGACAAACGAATTTCAAGTTATATGCTAATCACAATGATTTTAATACATAAGATAAAAACGGCATGAGTACTTCACTTACAACTTTGCCATGCACAAGATCAGATTCAGCAATCTGCATATGACGTATTTTTAATAACAATATACATATCAGTCAAGTAATTAAGAATACGGCAATTCAAATTAAACTACATTTCCTTCCAAGGTTGATAAAATCAACAAACTTGCACATAAGAATAAGAGCACATAATTATAAGAGGAAATTTGCTGTATGGTCACACCCATTATGATGTGATACGATACTTAAAACTGCAAACGGTATTATGAAAATAGAAATTATAATACAAACTTGAAATCAATCTGTATCTCATTAGCTTTATGCTTACTTTAAAGATTTAGACAGAGAACATTAATTATATCATAATTTCATATACATAAAGATCATTTTGTGTCAACATACATGCATTTAATTACACATAAAGTTTGAAAAAATATTTCTAATAAATAACTGAGTAAAATTTGTCATGAAAAAAAAAATTACACTACATATCTTTATTGCACTTGACATCATTTACAGTTAGACAAGATCTAAAGCTTTTAGACATTTACATAGCAGGCTATCAAAATTTTACTCCAATGATGATTTAATGCATCACACACCCATAAATATATTTATACACACACACACACACACACCCATATATATATGCAAATTTCCCAGGCTCTCTTTCTCTTTCTATAAATATTTCATATTATTGTAATTTATTTCATATTTCATGTATTATATTTCATATTTCATGTAATGCACCAAAAAGCACAATCATTCCAAAAGTAGTCAGATTTAGTTGTTGGAACTTTAACTGTAAAATGATACTTTGAATCAGTTCATTTACATACAATAATGTAATTTACAACAAAGATTAAAATTTAAAACATGATTTACATACCTTTCTTCTCTTTGTATTTCTTCGCATCGACAGAAAAAGTATTTGCAGTCATCACAGAAGAAAGTTTTTTCTCCGAAGTCTTTTCCTGATGATCTAAGGGGATAAAAAAAAAATTAGCACATTGTTCACTAAAAGAAATTCTTTCTATTCTATTCCATAAAATACAGTTCAACAGCAATGTCACAAAATAATTTTAAAATTAGCATTCCAATACACAGTTCTGCACTCTGGGGATAAAAAGGTCCCCCCCCCCCGCCATAGAGTATTGCCATTACTCGCTTTTAAATCATTGACTTTGTTAATCAAAAATTCGTTAAAGTTTTACAAAATATGAAATCGATAATAAAACCAAATTCTAAATTTCAAATTTGGGCTTTCAGATGGCCATATTCGCAGTAGGATTACGTCATTCAAAATTGGATGGCTCTAGGTACTGGTGTTTTATCACAATGCGAGAAACATACATACATTTATGCAGATTCTTCATTATTTAATTTCTTCAAATATAATACAGGGCGGTAGTATTTGGTGGTAACGATTTGGAAAGTGCTACGCCTTTTATAGGGTTCCGACGCAAAATCGTAACACGAAAACAACAGTCCTTCAGGGACAAAGCCCCTTTGGATTAATAAAGAAAAAGAGACTTTCAATCTGAGGTGATTTTCATTTTAATTTTGAACAGACTGCATTAAGTTTCCGTAATAGAATCATTCTCTGCTTGGGTTGGTAGATCACAGAACTTTCAGTTCTATCAATCCAGATTGAAAAGTGACAAACAAAAACTCTGTTGGTTGCTTTGCTGCGAACTGTAGCGGTTTTAATATTCGAGATTTTGTGGAGAAAGGGGAGGACTCCCCAACTTTTGTACTGTATAATGCATCAGCCAAAAAAAAAAAAGAAAGAAAGAAATCATTTTGACTATTCGATTATTTTCACTTTATTTAAGCCATTCTGAATATTATTCCTTAGAACGCTAATCTGTGCGAAAACACACTTGCCCATTTTTGACGTTTATAATTCAGCAGTTACTGCTAATATACGTATTATTATAAATATTCATACATATGCTCATAATATAAACATAACGATCATAATAAACACAAATATGAACTGACCACGTGGAATGAGAATGAAAATGATTAAAATCTTGATAGAAATTCAAACGTGTGTAGTCTTGGGTGGGAGAAAAAGAATACGGAATGCACCGGAATTTTCTACCGCTTTCACAATTCTTTGACCAATAGAATGACGTGCACCAAAGGTTACATTAATGTAGAGAAAGGGGCAAAATGCTATTTCCGGGAGTATGATTCACCATCTGATGTTCCACTATAAGGAAGGGCTATCTGCCTTAAAGTTGTTTATTTAGTTTCGGCTTTAAATTTAAGAAACTTTTAGAAGTTAAACGCCTACGAATAATTTTATATCTGGTTTTATGAATCTATTAACATTTAAATACGGGTACGGGGGGAAAATGCGTGTTCATTAAAAAAAGCAAAAAAATAAGCACTAAAAACAAAAAAGTAAGTGCTTTAGAGAAAAAGTAAGCACCTATAAGGCCCTTTATATTTTATTTTCAAATATAATCACTTGTAAGCACTTCTAAGGACCGCTATGAACCCTGTTTTAAGCTAATACTACTAGCCCTTCATCATGTTTATTAACTTTCACAAAGCATGCAAGGGCTATCTGCCTTAAAAGTGGTACTTTTATGGAAGAATTTCAAAGAGAAACTGCCTTCTATTCATGTTACATACAGCAAAAGCATGAAATCCACATGTAATCAACCGATTCACCCGAACTAGATCCAGGACAAATGACCTGTGTTCAGTTGTCTTAGCCATTAGAGTGCTAGCAGGTTCACAACACCGAAATTTGCATTAGTCGTCACCATGCGAAAAAATGAAACTCCAGAGTCTCCAAAATACAGCAGCTTTTCCTTCATAAGAGTTTGAAACAAAATACTTTCACTGAAAAGATCTTGACTACTTAAAATGACTATTTAAAAGATGTAATATCATAACTATTCAAAACTGAAATATCCTGACTTTTCAACTTTGGTTTGACCACTTATTATCTTAGTATTCTGCTACTACCATATACACTCAGGCTTAAACAGTGCATGCAAATCTTGACATCAATTTAAGAAAGTTAAAAATCATATTTTATTACTAATTATGGAATCATAAAATGACAAATACTAAATGAAAATAAGAAAATTTATATACAGTTGTTATAAGTGTATAAAATTGAGTCAATATTGATAAACTGGGCCATTACTGTTTAACTACAACAGGAACAATCACCCGAGCTCTAGACAGCTAAGTAGTCTCCAAATATGCGTTAAAATTGAATTCCTGATTACCGTATTTGACGGCATATAAGACACACCCTTATTTAGAAGGCCACACACAAGGTAAAAAAGTTTCAATAGTCCGTGCGACAGCGCAGTACCACAATAACTTAAAATGTGGTTTCTTTTAGTTCTCACGTTTCGTAAAAGCCAAATAACAATCAATGAATGCAATTACCAAACATATTTTTATTAAGGAAAATTAGCAAACGGCAAGCTATTTTGAACATGATATGTAAATTTCAATAATGAATAAATGAATGAACAGCAAGCAATCAAACATAATACAAAATAAAGCAGAAACAACAAAAAAACACAGATTCAAGGAAAACGTTGCCTATCATGAAATTAGACTTTAATCACTTTCAAAATCATAAAAATCCTTTTCACTATCATCATCATCGAAAACGAGAATATCGTCACTGAATTTTACTGAAGAATTTATTGAGTTTATACTGAATTGTATAGCTTAATATCTTGTTTCCTGTAGTCATATTTCCCAGGGGTATTTTTTTTAAACAAATAGTTTTAAGCACAGATACCAACATGTTTATACAGAGTAGCACTGATACTGACACATGTGTTGCTGAGTCAAAGAAAGTCTATGTAAAGAAGGAAAGGCTCCATAGATGTAATGTAACCGTTGAACCTGTTCGAACTTAGACTTAGAGCTTCAAGCTTTGGCACTTTTTGGCGACAGATATTTCACGCATGCGCAAAATAATTATGGCGGTTGTAGAAAAAGTTATGTGTGTCTAGACCTTTATCCGGGCTAAAAATAGCATTCAGTATTGAAACTTAACCTGTGTCCTTTACGTATAAGACGCAGGTAACTTTTTTGAGACCAAATTTAGGAAAAAAAGTGCCTCTTATATGCCGTCAAATACGGTATAATAAGTATTACACATTTTTTTTTTAAAGTTCAACTATGAAATAACATTATCTTTAAACTGGAAAAGAAACATGCCAATGTAAAATCAGAGAAAAGGTAACCTTAATTTTCCATAAATTTTTTAATGAAGCCTGATTATGCATAATCAAGAACGCAGAAAATGCTTTTATTGTTTTTAAAAGTAACTGAATTTTTTTTCCCTTTGTCTGCTCCAGTACAGAAAGAACTCATGTCTGTTTTCCATCAAAATCAATAGAACTTTATACAATATCTATCTAAACTAAGATTGCTTTTCTGCCTTACGTTAAACAATAATCTTTTTTTTTTTTTTTTATCAACATCAAAAACTGAAGTTTTTAGAAGATAAATCAGATGGCAGAATTTTCAAGTAATAACCCATTCACTGCTTGCAGAAAACAAAGCAAAGCTTCCCTTAAGCTCTGAATAACAGTTTTATTATGAATATGTAAAAAAGAAAGTGCTAATAAAACCACATACAAATGAATACAAAACTAAAGAAAATACTTTTCCACAATAATTGTATACAAAAACACAAAGAAATTTAGACTAACTTACGTTGCTGCTTTCTTTATTTCCAGACATACTTCTTTCTTTTCCTCCACACATGCTTCTTCTTTCTTTTCCTCCACACATGCTTCTTCTTTCTTTTCCTCCACACATGCTTCTTCTTTCTTTTCCTCCACACATGCTTCTTCTTTCTTTTCCTCCACACATGCTTCTTCTTTCTTTTCCTCCACACATGCTTCTTCTTTCTTTTCCTCAACACATGTTTCTTCTTTCTTCTCCTCCACACATGTTTCTTTCTTCTCATCCACACATGTTTCTTTCTTCTCATCCACACATGTTTCTTCTTTCTTCTCCACACATGTTCTTTTCTTCTCCTCCACACATGTTTCTTTCTTCTCATCCACACATGTTTCTTCTTTCTTCTCCTCCACACATGTTTCTTCTTTCTTCTCCTCCACACATGTTTCTTCTTTCTTCTCCTCCACACATGTTTCTTCTTTCTTCTCCTCCACACATGTTTCTTCTTTCTTCTCCTCCACACATGTTTCTTCTTTCTTCTCCTCCACACATGTTTCTTCTTTCTTATCTTCCTTATATGTTTTTTTGAAAAAAAATTTCCAACTTTTTGGTCTTTCTCTTTTCATCGCACTTTTTTGTCTTTCTCTTTCCATCACACTCTCTTTTTCTTCCTTTTCCTCCACAGTCTTCATTTTTTCCTCTTCTTCCTCATCTAGCAGAATTTCCTCATCCGAATCATCATCTTCCTCTTCCATTGCACTCTGCTCTTCTTCCTTTTCCATCGCACTTTCCACTTCCATTTTCTCATCTTCCTCTTGTTCTGGGTGTTCAGCAGACTGATTTTCTCTTTCAGCTCTAATTTGATCTAGCAGCTGAAATTCAAAATGAAGAGAATTTTGTCACAATGAGGGGTGGGGGGGAGAATGCATGCCAAATTAGTAAGAGGATAATAAACACTTACATCATTTAAAAAATTTGCAGCCCTCTCTGGTAAAGAATCAGCTTCTGCAAGAGAAACATCACTTTTTTAAACCATTAAAAATCTGTGAAACTAAATATAGTACCATAACAATATGCATTAAAAAAAGTTTGAAAACATTTAAATCTGATACCATATGTATTACCAAATCAAAGCTCTTCAAAATTTCTTAGAATTACAATATAATATAATTCAAACATTACTGATATTTACAAAATTGTCACTGAAGGTTTAAATTTACTGTGTATTTATGATGTTCCATACCATCATGTTTTGATACAGATGAATGAGAAACCAATGATCCAGCTTGTTTAAAAAACAGTATGCCTTTCCCTGCACATTTTATTATTTTGTTAGACAGACAAAAGCATTCACCCAAGCTTAAGCCTCTTATTTATAAACTGTAATCTTCTCCAAATAAATTTAAAAATCCAGGATTTGAGACACGTTTAGAAACCACAAAAATCTAATTTACACCAACAGTGATGCAAGATTTTAATTCTTGTATCTCTCCAAGCACGAGAATTAAACAATGTCTCTGACTGTTAACTATTACTGAAAATCTTTAATCTACCTCTAATGTTTACACATCAATATATACAAAGAGCTGTAGTTTACATATTGGATGACATTTTCATCAGATCACATGATAAGACATTTTACAATGATAAAGAAGGGCAGAATTTTAACAGAAATGCTTTTCACATTTCAGTCTTAAGCAGAGAAGAGAGAATATCTTCTCCAGCAAAAGAACTTATTCTTGCTTTGTGGAGAAATTAGTCCTTATTTTAATCATCATTATCACTTACAAATTATTAGTATTTCAGCACATTTAGATGACGCAGGAGGGAGAAACGACATCTGAAGGACTGCATAAATGAAAGTTGTCTAGTGGATTTCACATTCGGAAAGTGCTTTATAAGGTCAGAGTTTGCTTAGAATATTGTGTTGTCTTGAATAAGAAGAAAGGCTTACCAGCAACTGTCAGAATTTGATACAGGCAGGATCGTTGCCTATGTAGTGTGTGGATTATCGTTCTGTGATATTGGCCATTGCTCTGTTCAACAACCAACCATTGTCATGTGAATATGGAATCAATAGATTACTGAGGGTCATACTGAATGGCATGCAGGAAATCGATGTCCTCTTATGACTAACGCCTGAGAGGACAGACACATTGTGAGGTCAGCCCTGCTAAACTGTACAACCAAATAACGGAACATTAGTCAGGAAATGAGCATGTTTGTGGATGCCTAGTACCCGCTCATATGGTGCATCAATGTCTGCAGCAACGTGGACCATCACCACGGCGACCATTAGTTCGGCTTCCCTTGACAATGCAGCATAGAAACAGATGGCAACTCTGGTGCACTGAATGACAAAGCTGGATACAGGAGTGGCATAATGTCTTTTCAGACGAATCCCGGTTTTGTGTGCAGTATTCTGACAGAAATATAAGTGTCTGGAGGCTCCGGGGTGACCACATGTCGCCTGCTTGCATTCAATATCAGCATAGTTTTTTTTTTTTTTTTTCATTTGCTTTCCTTCATGGTGTTGCAATTTTAATAGCCAGCAGTGTAGTTCCCCCAAATTTGTTCTAAAACAATATGACCAGCAGATTGAATTAATTCATTTTGTATGGCTGAGCTCAAATATTGTACACTTCTTACTGGCATTTCAAAAATTTGTTTCGTTTTACTGTCATATTTACTTATTAATTTAACCTGAAATTAAAAAAAATGGCATTGGAATTCATATTTAAATCTTCACTATGCCTCAGAAAAGCTAACTTACGTTTTCGTAATGCAAGTCTAATGCCAAATAACAATTCTAAAACCATTTTCCATGAATTTGCTCTCCAATTTCTTTGTCAATAGTCAATGCTCACTTTCGTATGTGATTTGGAAAAACTCCGGGTTCTAATTCTTACTGTTAAATTTTTTTCAATCTTCAATACCTGAATGCCAACTGTTATCAGAATTAGAAAACAACCAACAAAGTTTGCAGAATGTAGCATCCAAAAATTCAAAGTAACACAACTAATGTCTTGGCACTTGTCTGAACTTCATCATGGATGCTTAATAATACTGCACTAAAATGTCTTTTTCCTTGTTTAGTATTTTTTACAAATGGAACCACAAGATTTTCCTTCATTTTCATCACGATTAATTAGAAATCTTCTTACATGATCAGTAATACTTATTTTTATCTACAAATTACCTATATCTGTTTCTTCTGTATAGTTATTATCAGGTTTGCTTGTAGAAGCAACTTCATAACATAGTTTTTTATTCACGCTTTTCAACTTTACTGCCATGGATGATGTCTACTGAAGAACTTTTTCTGGGTATGATGTTTTAATAGAAAAGTTGTCTAATTTTGAGAGCTTTCTTCTGCCTGTTCCCTCTTTTCTTTCCATTCTTTGGAATCATCCATTTTAACTAATATGTAGTAGTTTATGAATTGTTATAATTTTTTTTTTAACCCTTCAAATTTTATTTTCCAACCAACAGCAGTTCTAAAAAGTAGCCTATTTGTTTCGTGACAGCAAATTTTTGCTATGCTTTAATACTTCCTTATGCTCAAATTAAAAACACAGTAAAACCAGATACGAAATGATTATCACAAACAAAACATGCTAGTTTTAGTTAGAGTGAGTATGTACAACTAATGACTAGGGCAGATGAGTCAATACGTATAAATAAAATAATTCATTATGCCAAAAAAAAACAGCAAACAAGGTAGGCTGCCGTGATATTCAATTTTATTTCTAATGCCTATATTATTCAAGAAGAAAATATAAAACCCTTTTTTAACTTAATAATACGATTTATTCATAAAAGTTTAAATTGGATCTCCAGCATCTTTGGCATATAAAACACCAAAGTTGGATTTAGCAACAAATTTATTACAGTCAAAAGTCGTTAATCCGGACACCCATAATCCGGAATGATCTATAGTCTGGACCTCAAAGCTACAAACTTTCTGTGCATGAGTCAACGAAAAATGCGATCACGCATGTGCACAATCGCATAATATGCTTACGCATGCACGTTTAATGTACAACGGACAGTATAAGCTAAGCTAAAATTATCTAATTATCTATTTCAGTTAATGTTGCAGATTGTGTTGTTCCTTAATCTTTGAATTGGTTCTTGCTTATTATTTTTTGTAGAGTGTTAAAGCAATTTTATAAAAGTAAGCTTGAACTTTCGATTATGTCAAATAGAATTTCCGATTCTGGAGCTGCCAAAGGATCTATCTACAAAGCAAAAGCATGTTTCGATGTCCTTCAAACAAAAAGTGGAATTGCTACAAAAAATGGATAAAGGCATAGCCTTTGTTTTTCTAACCATTCCAAAATCTATTTATCAATTTCAAGCTGCTCTACGGGGAAAAGGGGAAACATCGCGGTGTGCAATGAACTGGAAGTTGATCTGTCAGCACTAGCCTTATCTTCAGAGCAGACGTTTTTATTTTATTCAGCTTATAATTCCTTTCTAAATAATCTCGATGTATTTCGTCTTTGATATGATTTAAATCAAATTCCTCGTCATTATAAATATCACGAATACACATCAAATAGTTTTCTGGTTGCAATTTCCTAATTTCGACTATGCGTAATATATGCTTTACACATGCGCGCGTTGAAAGAAATGTTTAATAAGTAAACAAATAAATATTAAGCTCTTTTTTTTTGTAAATTTTGATACCCTTTAGATCACAACTGCTCTTTATTTCATAAATTACGGTTTCATATTTTTAATTTTATAATTTCTGCATGCCATCTTACCAGATTTAAATTGGTGATCTATAATCCGGAAAAACTGATAATCTGGAATCGCCGAAGTCCCGACGAGTCCGGATTAAAGACTTTTGACTGTATTATTTTTAAACTAATCTAAAACAGAAAAGCAATGTTCCCTTAAAATGGGTGGGCTTTTAGGCATTGCCTCATCTTGCCTATCTACAGCTATGGCATGCCACCCAGATGGACAAGTGGTTAGTGACTCTGACAGCCGTACCAAACGGTCTGGGTTCGAATCCCGGAGAAGGCATGGATGTAAATTGGCTGTCCCTTCATAGGAGGTAATGGTGGCCGCCTATTAGGTGCCCCCATAAAAAATAACTGAACAAGTTCTCTAGCATATACAAGAAAAAAAAAATGTGACATGATGAATTTTGCAATTTATATAAAAAATGAGCACAATCTTAAAACAATACCTGCTAAAATGTTGTTTGATTATTAATCCTATCCGTTACCATTTTAAACACAAAGCCTATTTTGGCTGATCTAGGGCCAGTCCCTAGAATCAGACACGACATTTTAATATGTTAACAACACCATCGAAAAACATTTGCATGCTCATTTGCCCTTTGTAACAAAGTGGAATTGGGAGCAGTAATAATCATTCAATAGAGGCTTACATAGTTAGGGGAAGGTATAAAACTGGTTGATTCATTCTTCATCTATAAAATTTGTTATCAATTTAACTCAGCCACAAAGGTTTTTTTTTGCTTCATCTGGCCTAATTCTTTCAATTTTCATGAAATCATAATTTGTACCAACTAGTGTCATAAGTGTATATGATGAAATGTGTTACTACAATAGAGGCTTACATAGTTAGGGGAAGGTATAAAACTGGTTGATTCATTCTTCATCTATAAAATTTGTTATCAATTTAACTCAGCCACAAAGGTTTTTTTTTGCTTCATCTGGCCTAATTCTTTCAATTTTCATGAAATCATAATTTGTACCAACTAGTGTCATAAGTGTATATGATGAAATGTGTTACTAAAGATGAAGGTATAGATGAAAATGATTATGGATTTGACTGCTGCTAGCTGAGAATATGCTCTTCAAATGAAGACAGATGAAGAAATCAACTGAAATTAATTTCTAAATTAAAGAGCCAATTGATAGAGGAAATCAGTGAATTAAAAAGATGGCATTTTAAACGCACTGACGTGGCTTCTTTAACACAAATTTTAAATGGAGAAAATATAAAAATTGTCAGGCAAATTA